CAGGTAGCCATTTTTCAGTCCATGACACCACACAGGCATTGACTTATCCAACACACATTGAGACCTTCTCTGCACCAGGTGCTGAAGCTACCTGGTGAATTGAATCGCAGGGTTTATTTACAAGGAAATCATATTCTCAGCAATGGAGATGGGTATGAAAGAGAAAGGACAGGGAGAAGGAGGAAGGGAGGGAATGAGGAAGGGAAGTCATCATCGCCATAAAAACATTAAAATGCTATGGCAGCATAATAGAAAAACTTCTTCTGATTCCTGGGGGCCTGGAGGCCTCACAGAGGAGGGGACAACTGAACTAGTCCTTAGAAGCTAAGTAGGAGGCACCAGGTGAATAAACAGGAAAAAGCCATTTCTGGAGAGGAGACTGGACTGCAGAGGGACAAAGCTTTGCGAGTACATTAAATATTAAGAAAAAGGCAAGCAATTTGGTTTAGTTAGAGGCTAGGATAGTTCATATCGAAGTGGCAAAAGACTGCAGGGCTGTGTGCTAAGAAGTTCAAGACCCTGTGGGGAATGCAGAAACTAGGGCAGGTGAACGATCTGATCTGACTCAGGTCTTCCAGAGCCCAGTCTTGAGTCTGTCACAACTGTCTGTTTGGTAAATTGTATTTATGTTTCTTTTTTAAACAATTGATACCTAATAAAAGAAATGGAAATGAAAGAAATGAACTCAGTGGTTTTAAAGTCCCCTTCCTGATCTAAACTCTGTGGTTTCATGATTCCTGTTCAATTTATTTTCCCAGTGGGGCTGGTAATTATACTTGAGCTAGTAGCCTAGAGTAGAAAGTACATTTACTGTACTCCCAGTAAGTGACTCATAAAAGAAGTTTTTAGATAAATAGCTACTAAAAATTTTTTATTAAGCAATTACTCAATTATTTCCTCCAATGTATACTCATAAGCCTTTGGATATTTTTTTTCCTTTACAAAACACACTATAAAAGTAATGCCATATATTTTTTGTAACTTGGTAGCAGCAAAACCCCTCAGATGGCAGACTTAGAACAATCAATGTCTGCTGTTTAATTTTTTGGTTTTTTTTTTTAATCAATTGTCTGACTTTGAAGTTAAAGTCTAGAGTCAGGATAAATTTCTAGAAACATTTTTATAAGGCCTGTAAATTTCTAGGGTTTATACAATTTCTTATCCACTGCTTCTCATTCCACTTCCTGAGACACTCAAAATTTCCTTCACCACCTCCATTTTTGGATCTCGAACAGGCGGCATTTAGCATCTCCTCTTCTGCCACTGACCATCTTTCCTGTGGCTTGTCATTCATCCTGTCACTCTTTCAGGGTCCTTGTGAGGACCAGTAATGACCACTGGACATGGAAAGAGCTTAGAAAGTGACTGTCCACTGTAGGCATGTAGTCTGTGAAATATTACTTACATGAAACTTTTTGCAAACTGACCACAGTATCCTACAAAATATCAAAATTGTCAGGATAATGCTCTTATTTTAATACAGTCTAAAATGGTCTGTCACCATCCAACACTCCTTCCTCTGAATCAATAATGAGTTACGGCCCCACAAGGGGAGAGGGATCCCTTATCCAGGGATCTGTGGCCTAGAAAACCACAGGGTGTGTGGATCCCCTCCTTTGAGGAAATGGTTAAGGCAGGTTGTCTGGGAAAGATCGTGGCCAGGGCTGCCAGACCCACTGCTGTGGCCACGAAAGGGCCCCACGTGAACAATACAAAGCACACTGTGCACACACACACAAAAAAAGGCTCAGTAAAAAAAAAGGAAGAAAACAAGACCCTGCAAACATGCAGACACAGCACTAGTGACATTTACATGACGCGGCAAGACCGGTGACCGGATAGGAATCACTTTCTTTCTACTTGCTACGGTTGATCGCCAGCTAATGAAGGATAAACTCATTAAACGTTTGTTCTGCTTTGTCCGTATAATTTGTAAAATTTGTTTCCATCGAAGATCAATCTTAGGGTTTGCTTTTTAAATTGCATTTTTGGGTTATGTAAAAACATCAACACGGTTCCATTCCTAACTATATAAAATTGTACTTGAAGAATCAGTCTCTCTCCCATCCCTGGGCCCTCCACTCCCGTGCCACCTTCCCCTTACAGGCCACCATTTTTATTAGTTCTGCTTTTTCCTGCTAGTCACTGTTTCATAAAAAGAGGGGGTGGGGGGACAGGATTTGGCCATCGCTGCTGCCAGCTGGGGGTGGGGAGGCCCTGGCTTTTCTGGGGGTGCCCTTCTGGAGGACAGACACTGTGGCTGCATGGTGCCTGCCGGCCTGCGCCACTCCAGGTCCTTAGGCTACAGAGAGCAGGCTGTTCTGGGGGCTTCTTCTCTTTGGGTCGGTTGCGGGCATTTGGTCGTGTGTGTCTAGCACCTAGGCTGGGCTATCGGGGAGGCAACAGCTCCTGGGACTCAGCTGGGTTCTTCCTCAAGTCTCCACGTGCCTGGGCAGTTGGTTTTACCACACCCTTCGGAATGTTCTGGTAGGGTTCATTTGTTGTTGTTTGGTCATTAGTGGGAGAAGTGAATGGAATGCGTTCACCCCATCTTGTCCAATTCACATAAAAATGTCACATAAAAAGAAAGATGAGGCACTGTTCTGGGTCTTGACTGTGTGGATGTCAGTATGGTGGTAGGTGGAACTCTGGATCTCCCTTCTTTTATGTGGCCTGTCCGAGATTTCTGCCCATTTTTCTACTGGGTTTCTAAGCAGGCTATAAAATATTTAGAGGAATAAGGGGTCGGCCCCCAAGAGAAGCCCTTGGCGAGCATCTCCCTTACTTGGCTGGAGCCTCCTTGAGGATGGGAACTGTGTCTTACTCTCACGCCACCAGTAAAGCCCAGTGCCTGACACACAGCAGGTGCTTAATGTATGTTCCCAAATATTGTGGTTGGAGAGACTAGAGAGACCAAGCTGTCCGAAGTTGCTAGACGGGTTAAAAGACTGCATAATTACCGTATGCAAAATGACATTCATACAAGGTTAAGGGATGAGGGAAGAATGAAGGGGAGGTCTGGTTACCATAGTGACCCTGTTCTGCCTGAAAAAAAGCACTCACAGGAGTCTTATCCAGGAACGCTAACAGCCACCACTATTTTTCCTGATTCCAGCAACGATGGTGGGAGAAGAAAAAAGCTGGTGAAGGGAAGAGGCCAGGGAGGGAAATTAATTAAATACATTTTTTAAAATGACCTCAGATGGAAATGATGTTCCAGAGGTAAACTAACACCTTCTCTTTGATAAGTCAAGCAGGTGTTTTCAGCATCTGCTCACGAACTCCTTTATCATCACATTTATGTCTTGTGACATTTATTTTGCAGGAAGCATGACTTTCACTTTCCATGTCTGATTTTTTTCTTTTAATTGAACAGAGGTTATCTTGGCAGTAAATTTTTCGCTATTCTGGGTTTTTCTTTTATAAATTAATCCATATTAAATTTTTAAGGCTCAGTAAATATTTTAAAATTTGCAAATACATTGGGTAAAAAGCTGAGCCTGGCTTTCTATTCAGATATATTTGTAGGTGGGCCAAAACACATTCTGAACATGGCCCTTAATAGTCCTAACTACGGCACTGATTCTGCTTAACACGGCTCACTAAGAAGGTACGAAGTGTATGTATTAATGGAACAGTAACTTAGGAAGCTGGAAGGCTCTGCCCTGTCAGATGGTAAACAGTGCTCCCTGGGCAGCATGATTCATTCACAGAGCACTGTGCTGGATGCTGGGAGGACAGAAACGAATGAGCCAGACCCCTGCTTTCAAAGAGCCAACAGTCTTTGGGAGAAAAAGAAAATGTGTGAATGAATAAAAGTCATAGTGTTAACACACGCTTCAGTAGGGTTTGTGCTCTGCAGGGCAGGAGTGCAAGGGAGCGAGTGGGAGCTTTTACTTGGATTGGCTCTAGAGAAGGCTGCCTGAGGAGCGAATTGAATCTTCAGAGATCTGCAGTAGATCCTTTGTGGATCATGATGCAGG